TAGGTTGGAGACCATGGCTTTTAGGTTGGAGGCCATCGCTCTTAGGTTGGAGGCCATCGCTCTTAGGTTGGAGGCCATTGCTGGTAGGTTGGAGGCCATCGCCGATTTCAGGCACTGCACCTGGAAGCTCTTCAATGTCTTCAAGCACCATGGGCAAATCGCTGGCAGGAGCTTTGTGCGCAGGCTCTGTGGGGACCACTGAGGTGGGCTCGGGAGAATGGTGCAAACTGGTGTCCTCAATCTCTGAGGTCGAGGTCTTGGTGAAGAACTCGCGGAAGGAGTTTTGACATGAAGGCTGGGCAATGAAGAGGGCAAGCATTAAAGCTTGACAGACCACGTGAAAGACCGACATGCCCTGCCAACCGGCGAAATCATAGATGATTCCTCCGATGGTCACACCAAAGGCACAAGAAAAGGTGTACACGGCCAACCTTAGTAAGTCGCACTAAGGTTGCGGATTTCGGACCAAACCATACCCCAAACCACCTTTTCTTCCACACTTTCCTCCTCGAACGTGGAGATACACAACCCTTGTGAAACGTGGAAATCTCGGCAACCCTCGGTCTCGGTTCAATGGGCCCAACGGTGTGATCCTTTGCGAGAGCTCTCGACATGAAACGATGCACCTGGCACCTTAAAAACACACACACACACATTGGGAAGAGTGGCAAGACCTGGAAACCGATATTGACACAAAGCCATTCTGGAGTAAAGTGAGTCCCATCTAAACAAGTTGCTGCCAGGATCTGCCTGGTACACATGTTGGCCCTTCTCCTATTGAACATCACTTCATTTCATGTCACGCAGCTAGTGTGGTTGTCCCCATAATGCCTTTAACCAGGCTAGCAAAGTCACTGGGTGGATGACGCTTGCCGCGCCATGAGTTCCGATTTGCCGAAGACGTCGAAGGCCAAACCCTCCCAGGTGATGGCGGGTTCGAAGGCAATCCAACTGCCCATCTCCAAGCTCACGGCCCACTCCTCACGTGACGAAAAACATGTCTTATGTGTAAAAGCGCGCAGAGCGCCCCCCCTACTCCTTAATGAAGTAGGCAAACCGCACTCATCCTTAGGTTCCTAGATGGAGATAGACCATGCCCACATGGCGGCTTCCGACGTCCGATCTTTCAGCAGTGGCCTTCTGGGGCCGCAGGAGACGTCGAGAATCTGCCGATCCTGTTCCAACATGATCAGAACGACCCTCCTGTCGGGGTGCCCTGTCTGGAAGCCTACAGGTAGTGCGGGGTATTCCATTGGACACCCCTTAGAGGGTCCAGGTACTACCGCCCACGCATCAGAGCACACACGTGAGAGCACATGCGGCAGCCGTGTAAGAGCACGCGCGTATTAGAGCACAAGCGCGAGGAAACTTGGTCTCGACCACGTGTACTTCGAGGATACACTCTGACAGTGCCCAAAAACGAAAAGACAGCGCGAACATTCTCGAGCATACAAATGCTAGCGTGCACACACGCACACACAAACACACACTAGAGAAAGAACTCGCAGGGTGGTCCCAGAGGTGGACTTAGCATCTTACGTTGCATTGGTTAATCTGTGCGTCTTCGGGCGCCCTGTGCAAACAGAAAGCCCGGACGCTCCATGGGACTGGAATAGTTACACACGTTTCCGACCCCTATATTACCAACAATTCCAGTCCCATTAGACGATAGTAGCTTCTTGCTACTACCCTAAGAGTCAAGGACCCGACCCGTTCGGTGAAGCTTTGGTTCGGGTCCTGTTGGGCCCCCTGCGGAACCTGCAGGGTCCAGTCACCCTCCAGTTCGGAGGGTCGAGTCCAGTAGCTGCTTGCAACTATATATAATATTATATAATATATAACTATAGTAGTAATGCCCTTGTTACGTTCGTAACTTCTTGCTACGTTCGCAGATGCTCCTCAGTCGTGTAGATGAGCCCCAAGATCGCCCCTGCCAGGTGCACCACACTCAACGGGATGATGGCCTCGATTCGGACGCTGTCGGCGGCGCCGATGGGCAGAGGGTCCAGGAACACCGGAAGAGCTAGGCTAAATTCGTAGCGTCCTTGTTAGCTCATAGCGCTGGCCGCCAACCTACGTAAGCGATGGCCTCACGTTGGACGGCTATTGGTCGGATCCAAAGTTCAGAACATCCGTGGCCAGAAAGTGGGAGGCAACAGATGCATTTTGAGGGCTCTACCGAGTTGAAAGAACTAACATCTCAAACATCTCCTAGTTCGGATCCAGTGTCCCACCAAAAAGGGGGCGTTCCAAACGTACTTCGTCATGAGACAGATTTCCCAGGTCGAGACAGGACCTGAAGCTCGCCACGATCGCCAGGAACGACGTTCGGAGCAGCGTCCGGTCGTTACCCCCTTAGCGATGCACCTTTCAAAATAAAGGGACGCTGTGCATGTGCTATGCTATAGAGCTTCTGGTGTCAGCTTCTTTCTGCAGCCTGTCACATGATATCTCGATCTCAACACCATATAGCAAGCAAGGTCCGAAACACATCAGGGAAACCTGACATTCATGACATCCTGTATACCGCAACACCCTCAACAGTGAAGAAACCGTATACTGATCCGGCTTTGCAGAAAGGACCATCCAACATGAAAGGACCATACTTTCAAGGGCCTGTTAAATCAACCTACGCAAGTGCCGCAAGGGAGTACATTTCAATTTCAAACTCTTGAGCTCCTGAGATTTGAGGAGATTTGGGACAATTAATGATGCTGTAATTAGGCGCTCAAACCCGTGCGGATTCGAGTGGCCTAAGCTCTCCTCCAAAACTCACAGGTGCTAGTTATGTTATATACCAATCTTTTTCCAACCATTTCCATGAAAACATCACCACCATGGGCCGCCCCCCGTCGGCCGTTTCGGTCAGCGGCCAGTCACCCAAAAGCCACAGCGGATCTGAATCTGTTGAAAGAGAGGTCGGATGCCGAAGCCGATGAGGCAAGATGCCCCTGACCTTCAGGACACACGGAAATCCGGTTTCGGCCGCTTGAAACAGGCGCAGAGCGCGCCGGCCGTGTTGCTCGGCCGTGTTCGTCTGACACGATCCGACGATCGTCCAAGGAAGCTTTGGTCCCTTTCCACCCAGCGACGAGGAAAAAATCAAGGACCCTCAAAGGTGAAGGTTTTGAGGGTCCAAACCCCTGCTATGCAGGGTCCAAACCCTCCATAGGAGGGTCCAATGATTCTTAGGGCATGTCAGGACATCTCCGAAACTGGCTTCTTCGTCTTTCGACCTAAAAAGGAACATCTATCGGTTGTACAAACCGCCATCCCCCGAAGGACAATATTGGCTGATCCATAACATGACTACATAGAGTTCGATCTCGATCGGCCGTGGGCCATGGGGAGGGTGTCTTCACGGATTGTCCAGGTATTGAAGCTGAATCTAGGAACGAATATGTGGCACAGTCACCTTGACAAGGGCCAGCCCATGCTGGTGTAGTACAAAGCATAGCCACCCCACGAGTAGCCGTTGATAAAGCCGTTCAACATCGGCATGAAGACGCAGATGGCGAGATAGCTCCAGGACCACCCGAGTTCCTCCTCCTCAAAACGGGACAACCATTCTGAAAGCTTTGACCACCAAGCCCCTACTATCGAAACCCTTACTATCTGGACCCTGGCTGAAGGTGAGTGACCCTCCTCAAAATGAAACTCAAACCCAAACCTTTGGTGATACTATGTGGACCCACGGGAAACTAGTGAGATAATCACTGGCTACAGGGAGGGGACATCCGTTTCCCAATCGTTTGCTGTAAAGGCTGTATGCAAAGCGTGGCGCCCCTTTTCTAAGACCTCAAAAGGGCTGCATATGTATATGTACCATTTGTACGTATGTGCCTGCACCCCCCTAAGAGCTATACATGGGGATGATGGCTCTTCAGGCACTTCTTCAAGCATATCCATCTTTTGGACAGCTTTTGCAAAGCCTCAAAATGTCAAACTCTCGCGACCGTTGTGCCAGCCTTGGGCATGTACAGTCGACATGAAAAATCTCTCGGCCCTCCAGGTGGAAGACCTTGCTCCACTTCTCGGGGATCCACTCGACCTGAACCCCTTTCTCGACCATCTCAGTCGTCTTCCCGAGCCGAATGCTCAAGCCCCCATTGATCTTGCCGAACAGCCAGAGGAATCCGGCCAGCATGATGGCCTGGATCAGCAGGACCCAGCCGAAGGCGATGGCCAGATCTGTGAAGATCCACTGGCTCAGGGTGCCATTCTCGGTATTGGGCTCGTCGGCTTCCCTTGCTCCATCGGCCTGCTGCAGCATCGTGATGAGTGCTGCAATCATCATCTTCTTGCTGAACTGGCCAGCTGCGCTCACCACATTCACATGGTTCTTCTCCTTCTCGCTGACCTCCTCATAGGTGCCGATCTTCAACATGGTTCTCAACTTGTGGAATCTCTCGATCGTCAGAGCCTTCGTGCCAAAGTCAGCTGTGTTGTCGCTGCTCGGCACGGCATGCAGCGTGAACAGCTTTCTCTGCAAAGCTTCTTGAACCCATAGGCTCTTCACTTCCAAATGGCGGATGCGCCCCACACCTTGCCGTTGGAAGACTCCTCTTGCTGCGCTTGAGTCCAGGAAGACTTCCATCTTGATGGGGTGTCCTGCAAACATGAAGATCTCCTTCAGGAACAATCCCTCGGCACATGCTGCCACTCCTCCATTGAACTCGGCTTCACCTGAGGACAGGCACAGCATCTGTAGGCTGCGGGCATAGCTGTAGAGCAAGCAGCCACCAACACTGAACATGGCGCAGGCACATGACTTCCTTGTCTTCTTGCAATTCGCCCAGTCCGTGTCCGAATGGACAACTAGGGTCTCGATGTCCCCCCTGCGCTCCAGCCAGATGCCATAGTCCTTCGTGCCCTGCAGGTACCTTGCCAGGCGATGCAGCTTTGCCATGCTTCCATCGTTGGGGTCTTTCATATCTTTTGTGAGCTCGCGGATGGCAAACTGGATGTCAGTCCGGTCGTAGCTCAAGTAGAGCGCAATGCCAACTCCGGCCCTGAACAGCTTGGTGTTGCTGTCATTGAGCTTCTCACCCTCCTTCACATCTCCATGAACATAGGGAGTCGGTGCCGGGTTGCAATTCTCAAGCTTCAACATCTTCAGCAGGTCAGTGATGTACTTGGACCTTGGGCTGATGAAGATTCCATTGCTATGGATCTCTCTTGTGCGCTTCAGGTGCGTGAACTTCTCTCCCTCGATCAACGGATGGATCTGACTCTTCATGCGAATCCTCTTGTGGAGTTCCTTCTCCAGCTCCTCCAAGGATCTCTGCGGTCCAGTGGCAAAGAAGTCATCCATGTGCACTTCCATGAGGATGCCCTTGCTGGAATTGTGGAACAGCCAGGGTGCAGCTGGGTTGCGGCTGAATCCCAAGTCCTTGAGGTGCCCTGCTGCCCATTCGACGAAACACTGTCCAGCAATCCTCCTCCCATACCATTCCTTCTTCAACTTCCAAACCACCTTCTCAGGCAGGGTCACACCGGCCTCGATCTGCTTCTCGATCCAGTCCTTCGGAGGGAGCATGTATGCATCTTCTTTGATGGGAACCTGCCAGAAAGCATTCTCGGCGTCTGCGGTCATGAAGGCGTAGCCCATCTTGATGCCAATGACGTCCACCACTCTTGAAGTCGATGTGCTGGAGGCTACAGCAAACACATCAGTCCTTGGATCACCTCGTTTGAACTCGCGGACGCAGTATCGGCATCTCACTGCTCCGTCCGGCTTTCGCACCTCAACCCATGTGGCATCCAGCACCTTCATTCCAGGCTGGTAGGACACAGGCTCATAGGTGTCGTACTTGTCCATCTTCCCATACTCGACCTCTCGGCCTTGTGCTCGTTCCTCTGCCGTCAAAGGCTTGCTCTCCTCATCATCGGAGTCCACTGCTGCCATTTCCACATCCTCCTCATAGACGATCACATCCTCGGTCGGCGAGTACAGTGCTCCAACATATACTCCGCCCACGCGTGCCCTCTTCTCTGGGTTTTCATCATCTCCACCAGGCCAGGCACGTCTTGCAGAAACCTTGATCTCCATGGGGGACTTGTCGATGACTTGTTCAGTCTCCATCGCCTCCTGAGAGGGCTCCACATTGGCAGGCTTCTCGCTGATGAGGATGGGTTCGTCATTCCGTCCACTGCCGGACGATGGCCCGCCTTGATCGAGTGTTGGCTCTGTCGGCTCTTCCTCAAAGGTCTTGATCTTGGCCTTCTTCTCATCAGTCTCAGCTTCTGTGGGAACTGCACTTGGGGTCATCGGCATGATTGCCTCGATCTTCCTCTTGGGACGTCCAATGGTTGTTCCTTGGTCCCAAGGTACCCCAATCATGGCCTCCAACAGGTCTCGGTCATGGGTCTTGGCGCTGTCTGCGAATCTCCTCACAGATCTTGCTGACACGGTGCCATCTGGCGTGCCAAGGAGGTACTCGTTGCTGGTCACACTCCTGCCGAGGTAGATTCCTTTTGCCCACGCCGTCTCACCTTTGGTGATCACATTTCTCCCATGCGCCCTTCTGGCCTTACTCATGGGGGTCTTGAAGAGGACTGTCTCCGCGAACGGGATGAGAGGTGACGTGTACTGGCAATCAAATGCATCCTGGTATGCTGTGCGCTGGTTCGACTTGACTGCATAGCGGCATCTGATGAAAGAGCAGTAGCGCACCAACCAGGGCCATAGGTTGTGGGATGTATGCAAGGTGATGCCATACTCCGCTTCGACTGCGTACCTCAAAGTCAGGACATCTCCACGAAGCAATTTCTGGAATGCCCCCATCGTTCCAAGGCTCTGTGAGCTGTACCTTGGAACCTCCTCGAAGATGATCTTCAATCCAGCAGCTCCGGGTGCTTCACCCTTCCTCAAGGCCTCAGCGATCTGCCCCTTCACTTTCTTGACCGCTGGTTCGTTGTCTGATCTCAGCTTCACTGTGTCATACCCCAGCTGGGCGATGAAGGATGTGATGACCTTCACCACGTAGGGAATGCCCAGGTTCTTGGCTGGGATGCTGAAGGCCAGTCCCATGCCAGTGCCAGTGTCAACCACTGACAGCACTGTGTCACTGCACCCCTCGAACTTGTCGGCCAGGCTGGTGTCGGTCTTCAAGAAGCTGTAGTCAAGCTCGAAGTGGTTGTCAGACAGCTTCTGCTCCAAGGTCCTTCGCTTGTGAGCAATCTCCACGCCATGGCCTCGGGTGCAGAATTCACACCAGGGTTGTGGTGGCAGATGTGTCAAAGCATGCTGCCTCATCTCTTCATCGCTGGGGATCACTGGCTTTGGAAGCTCTTGAACTTCAGCTCCACGCCCTTCTCGCAAGGCCTGCTGCCTCTCGCTATGCTTCTCCACATAGTCTCTTGCTGAGGCTCTCCGTGCATTCAATGCAGCTTCTGCTTTCTTCAGCCTTGTCCACAGGGTGTGCTTGTCGCCATAGATAGGCTCATCCAACTCTTTGAGTCGGGCTCGAAGATCTGCCACCTTGCTCCACCCATGCAGCTTCTGTCGGTCTGCACGAGCATGGGCTTCATCACGAGCAAATTCCTCAGGCAGTGGGATCATCTCAATCCCTTCTTCATCTTCGTCCACACCAGCGAACTCCCAGTCATACTGATCACCTTGACTCACCACCGGTGCCACAGTGGCATCAACCTTCATGTCATACGGCACGGCCTCATCATCCACAATCTTGATGTAGTAGGAGTTCCTGTGGATGTAGAGAGGAATCCTGAATGAGATGTCAGGATGGCTGAGGTATGGCTTGAACTTGTTCCTCATGTCAGCCACAAATCCATTCTTGCTCATCTTGCCAGCTGAGAGCACGTCCTTGCTGGCTTGCTGACTCACCTTGAACTCCGTGATGGCGTTCAGGAAGTTGCCATTCTCACCCACAATCTTGTAGCTCACTCGCTTCTTTCCGAGTTTTCCCAAGCTCTTCCCAGAAATCCCTAGCAGCTCAGCTCGGCACTCTTCGGTGTGCTGGTCGCCTCCGAACACAGGTTGGCAGAGGTGTTCATCACTGCCAGAGTCCCAAAGAAGGTACTTCACGGAGGTGCCGCTAGGCTGGGAGATGTTCAGGTGGTGCCATTCGCTCACCTGCTTGTTGGCCTTGTGGATCATCATCACCCACATCTCATCACTGTACTCATCCTCGATGTCATAGGTGTCGGCCCATGCCTTCCTCTCGTCATTGTCGGGGTCGATCCAGTAGTAGACAGCATTGGTGCTGCTGCCTGGAGCTCCCTGGGGTGACGGTGGCGCAGCTGAACCACTCGGTGCTGCCTGCACTGCATTCGTGCTGTTCTTGCCTTTTCCCTTGTCACCATCACGTCGGGCTCGATCTCGGACCAAAGTGCGACAGTCTGCCTTCTTGTGGCCCCATTTTCCACAATATGAGCACTCGCCGTTGAACTTCTTCGTGATGGGTGCTTTGCCCTTTCCCTGCTTGTCGTATTTTCCACCTTTGTTGACTCCTTTGTCTCCTTTGCTTGACTTGCCCTTCTTGCCCTTCTCTGCATGGGACACTGCTCCCACATCCATAGGTGCCAAGC